TAGGTTTCTCACTGAAAATCCTCGTCCCCCGGCGGCACCTTTTTTTGAATTTTTTCCTTTTCAACGCCGTTTTTCGGGGATTTCGGATTTTCTTTGAATTTTTTCGCAATAATATTTGAAAAATTGATAAATTTTAACACATTTTAATGCAATAAAAATTTTTGGTCGGAGTCCCCCTTTAACAATTTCTCCCTTTGCCTTAATCAAATGCTCCCTAGCCTTCTGTGTCAAAGTGACAACACTTCGCATATTGATTTGCATTGTTCTATCAAGATCCGAGACATCCTGATCCAACCCAATGCGCCCCTGAGCGTCAGGGAATGCAGTTCCAGCATTGTTCACCAAAATGTCAAGCTGTCCAAATTTGTTGATTGTCTCGTTGACCAACTTGTCCTGTTCTTCGTCTTTGGCCAAGTCTGCTGGAACAGCCAAAAGATGGGTTTCTGGAATTCCAGATTTCAGAATGGCCTTTCCTCGAGTCGTTGGGTGTTTCTTCCGGTGATGGTCACTTTCGCATTTTCCTGTGCGAAGAGGATCGCAGTAGCACGACCGATCCCACTGGAGGATCCTGTAAAGGGAAGTATTCTTAAAAATTTCGAGAATGAAACCATTACCTGTAACCAGAGCAACTTTGCCACTGAATCGACTCATAATCTTAGAAGATGATTCTGAGAAACTTTCTGTTCTGTTTAAATATCATTTCTATGTGACTGATAAGGGAAGAACCCAAATGTGGTCTCTGCATGATTTGATAAAAATTAGTTCAATGAAAACGGTACGTATATACGTTGTAGGCGTAGTGGTGTTTCCAATATTTACAAAAACCTTCGTTATGGTATTTTAAAAAACTCTTTTGAAATGAGATGGTATTTTTTTGGATGCCAGAAGTTCTAATGCTGTGCTACCAGAGACAATTTTACAAATAACAAGTTTCATTAGAAATACAAAACTACAAAACTTTTGACAAATCATGACTGGGCATTCCGAGAGCCAAGGAAGTGCCTCCATCAATGACAATACACTGTCCGACGATATAATCACTGGATTTCTTATCAGCCAAAAACGCAATGAGCGTAGCAATCTCTTCTGGTCTTCCAGGACGTCCAGCAGGAATGCAATCTTTTTGACTTGAAAAATATTCCTCGGTCTTCTTGACAGCATCATTTGGAAAACCAACGGCACCAAGGAAGTTGGTTGAAATGAGTCCGGGACTCACGGAGTTGACACGGACACCGTGCTCGATGAGTTGGAGGGATAGACAACGAGTCAGTTGGTCCAGTCCGGCTTTTGCGATTCCGTAGTAGGTGTAATATAAGAACTGGAAAGGTCTCTTTTAGAGGAATGTTGGGTATTGGGATTTGGGAAACCGGGATTCTGAGAATTTTTCATTTTTTAGGAATATGGGAAATTTAGATTAATTATATTTGAACTTTAGGATTTGAATTTTTTCGGATTCTTGTGATTGTCGAAGTCTTTTCAGAGTTTCCAGTTTTGGAATTTGCATTTTTTTTTGAAATTTTGGATTTGGGCAGTTTTGAACTTTTCGGTGTTTTGAGAAGTTTAAAAAAGTTTGAATCAGTGAATTTTTGGAATATTCGCATTCCAAACTTAAAAAAAATTCGGGTTCTGATTGTAAATGTAATGGAAGTTCAAAATTTAGAACTTTTGGGATTTCGGAATTTGGGAATTCCGTGATTTCGGATTTGCGAAGATTTCGAATTCCGATTTTTCGAATTGCAGAGTTTTGAATTTTTCAGAATTTCGAAATTTCTGAATTCCCGAATCTCACCGGTGATGGTCCAGCACAAATAGAGGACACATTCACAATGTCTCCCTTACTAGAAATCAAATGTGGACGACATTTTTGTACCAGTTCCACAACACTGAAATCAAAAAATCAATATTCCAGAAAATAGAGTTTTGCAAACCATCTCAAATTGACTTTCAGCATTTCATCAAAAAGTCCAACTTCCGCTTCGATTCCAATTTTTCCAGATGGATCAGCAAAGGCGGCACCGGCATTGTTGACCTTGAAATTTCCAGAAATTTTCAGGCTTCAAACTACATAACTTTTTTCACCTACCAAAATATCGATTCTCCCGAATCTCTCCAATGTACTCTTCACTAATTCTCCTTGACATTCACTATCAGTCAAATCTCCAATTACTTGATTGATGTCTTCGGATTTACCTCCATTGCTCAGAATTTGGTTTACAGTATCCCTCAGTTTTTCTGCGTTTCTTCCGGTTACAGTAACTTTGGCTCCTTGTTGAGCAAGGAGCACAGCAGTAGCACGACCGATTCCAGATGAGGAGCCTGAAAATTTTAGATATTCCAAGAAATCCAAAAAGTCAGAATATAAAAGTTACAAAAATTCGGAATATCACAATTTTAGAAATTCAGAATAACAAGGTTTCAAAGATTCAGAATTTGAGAAGTTGAGAAATTCAAAAGTTCAGAAATTCAGAAATTCAGAAATTTCGAAATATCAAAAATCATAAGTTCACAAATCTGTAAAAACTAGAAAAATCTCCAATATTTTAAATCTGGAATATCTTAAAATTAAAAAATTTGGGCGATTCAAAAGTCGAACTTACAGAAATAGTTCCGAAAAATTTCAAATACTTTGAAAAAGATTCAACTAACCTGTTACAATTGCCACTTTACCGGAAAACCTAGACATAACTTTTTTTCCAACAAACTGAATGGACCAAATTTTTTTTGATCCGGTTTTTATACCCCTTTTTTCTCACATGATGGATGATGATGTGATTAGTTTAATTTGTTCGTGTACGTGTGAAATTGACAAATCGGGGGAGATTGAAACTTGAAATTGTATGTTTAGACTAACAGAAAAAACATAGACGAGTACTGTGAAAATTGGAAAAAAGAGGGACAGTGAAAAACGGAATTGAATGATCAAAAAACGTTTATTACGTTGGACGGAAAAATCGAAAATTTGAGAAGAAAGGAAATTTTCCAAATTTTCCAATTCCGAGATTCTGAGATTTTAGGATTTCGAGATTCTGAAGTTCTGAGAATTTTAGATTCAGTATGTCATACTTTGAGAATTATCAAGAGACATATTTTTGAAGGACGGAAAAGTTTTTTAACTGGCTATGAGGAGAAGGAAAATTAACAGAATTTTCGAGTTCTTACTAATATTAGAATTTGAGATTCTGAGATTCTGAGACTCCGATATTCTGAGATTCTGAGACTCCGATATTCTGAGATTCTGAGATTCTGAGATTCTGAGATTCTGAGATACTTAGATTCTGAGATTCTGAGATTTGGAGATTCTGAGATTCTGAGATTCTGAGATTCTGAGATCCTGAGATTCTGAGATTCTGATATTCTGAGATTCTGAAATTCTGAGATTCTGAGGTTTTGAGATTTTGAGGTTTTGAGATTTTGAGATTTTGTCCTGAAGTCTCCTGTTCAAAATTCACTGTTCAGAATTTCTTCAACTTTTGAGTTCTGAAATTTCGAAATTCGAAAAATTCAAAACTTTAAAAACTAAAATTCGGCAAACTCTGAAACTATATAAAAATGACTGAAAATTAGAAAATTCCTAAAATTCAAATTTTCGAAAAAAATCCGAACATTAGATTCTCTGAAAATTTCCGCATTCCAAACTTCGAGATATAGTAATCCCCAGAATCCTATAAAAAATAAAATTACAGAGAAAATCAACATTTCAGACTTCGAGAATCACAATACACCGAAACAAAATTCAAAAACCAGAAATTCGAAATTCGGAATTTTCCTGATTTATTTCTCGAATTCCGTTCCAAACACTCCTGGATTGTGAGATTCTCCTATTCTGAGATTCATGTGTTCTGAAGTTTTCCAATTTCCTGGGAGGTCTCCGTGTTAAAAGTACCATGTTAACACACAGTCTTGGTATTTTCCAGAAACACAAATTAGACTTTTTTTCAATTGAAATAGTCAAATTTTGGTATATATTTTAATAATTACCGTACTTTAGGATGCTTTCAATGTCCCCTCTCAACAACGAAACTCATGTTTCTAAGAGCATCCTCGCAAAGAATTCTGAGCTCACAAATGCAAGTGTTTACTAAACTGGCCGGCGTTTCTCTCTCTCTATCTTCATATATCTCAGTTTCTTTCTGTCGGGAGACTTTGAATCTCTATCTCTCTTCTTTCTCTGCATTACAGCGGCTTTGCTCGAGAATGAGCTCCCGGGGATGTGCGGCAGCTCCCGGGAAAGATAAGAGAGTGTACAGATCATAGGAGACGCAGACAATGGGTCAGAACTCTCTCTCCACCTACTCTACTCGTCAGGATGCCAAGATTTTTGTGTTGTATTGGGCAGAGAAGAGGCCATGAAGGAGACGGCAGACGATAGTCCTGAATACTCTTTGTGCTTTATTTTTTATTTTTTTCAAAATTTTCTGATTTTCGGAATCGTACTTATTCTGATTGATATTGTAGCAATTGATAACATTTGTAATACGAGTTTTTATTAAAAAATATGTTTTTTAAAATTAAAATTAAACATTTCAAAATGTTATCTGTAATGAAGTGAATAATGATGGTACAGAAATATATTTTCCCAAAAAAACATAGAAAATTACAGTAGGATTATAGAATTGAATTTATTTAGGGATTTGCTAGACTCATGAACATATTAGAATTAATTTTTTAAAATCACTTTTCAAAATTTCCAAATTTTATAAAAGGTTTGAGTATGATTTTTGTGAAACTTCAAGAATTACCGTTTCTGATTTCTGACAGTCTTAAAATTTTCCGAAAATAATAATGGAAATATTAATTTCAATATTTTTTGTTAGCAGATTTAGATTTTTCAAAAATTTTCAACTTTTTTTGCGGAAACTTTTTTTGCGCTAATGAGAAGTTTGAAGAATCCTAGTGAGTTGATTCTGAAAAATCTAACGATTATTCGGATACCATAAAACCTGTAATAGTAGGGCCCCTACACTGTCAAGTTTCAGCTCAATTATCTTAATTCTTTTGCAAGGTTTCCAAATGTGTCAACTGATAATACGCTTCTGATGTTCTGATAAGCAATTTATCAGTTTACAACTGTTTAATAGCTTTGACAAAAACCGAGAAAAGTTCGCTCAAAGTTTGAAGTTGAAATTTCCTCATATTAAAGGTTTTACGGTATTTCAGTAAACTTTCTTTCTCCGAAAAAAAATCAAGTTTCAATCCCAATTAGTTATCTTTGATCTGTTATTCTTTTCAAAAAAAAAACCGTGCAGTGTTAAAAAAAAATTTCCTCTCATTTTTTTGCTACAAGAGCTCCACAAACATACAGTTAGAAGATAAAGGTGTGTACCTCTGGATATTTGTGTGTGTGTGGAAAAAAAAGTCGAAAAAATTTTTTAAGCATTTTTTTCGATTTTTCAAACACATTCAATTTTTGTAAAATCGATGGCCTAGAAATTGTTCTAGACCATAGTTCCTCCCGCTTTTTGTAGCCAAAAATGTGTTATCTTCCTGATCACTAAATATATTTTTTTCTCGAGTTTCATTGTTCTTCTTTTCTCTTTTTCCCCTAATTTTCTGAAGATTTGTGCTCCGGCTCTTTCTCTATTTATTTTGCCCATTTCGAGTGATTCATGAGTCTCTTTTCCGCGGAATCTTCCTCCCGATTGTTTCGGAATATTCATATCCCATTTGTATCCAAATTTTCATCATTTCTTATCTTTTCAAAACTTATTTTTCACATTTATCAAAACCATTTTCAGTTCTCAACTTCTTAAATCTGGCTAATTTCAATTTCTACAAAAACATTTTTAATAAAACCGTATTTTTTTCAGCGCATGGGTCCAGTTATCTCCATCTGAAAGATACAAATCGAAATTTGAAATTTTTTGTTCTGCCTGCAAAATTCAAAAATTAAAAAGAAACAAAGTAAAAATCGAAAAACAAGTGTAGTATGCCGTTCAAGCAACCGCTCGGCGAGCGAGATGCCGCCAATCGGGTTGCACCGACTTTTATTAGGGTGAGTTGAAAGAAAAAACACATTTTTTTGGTTCTAGGCTTGCTGAATTTTTAAAAATCTAACTTACAATTAAAAATACGTATTTCAGTGAGACTGAGATTTCATAAAAAATTAATGGCTCAGAAATTTATTTTCAGTTGAACAATTAGCTTTTCCAAATTTCAACTTTTTTGAAAACAGTTCAGCTAGCAGTGGAAGGACAGAAAAATTAATACTTGAAAACTTGAAGAGAAATTTAATCACATTTTCAGCCGCTAGCCGATAAACGAGCAGTAGTTGGCGAAACGATTATTCTGGAGTGCCAGCTCGAAGGTCATCCGGATCCGGCGATTAAATGGCTCAAAGACGGACATAATGTTTCCATGTGCCCAGATTATCGAGTGAGTTTTTTTTGTTGAAATCTTTCATTAAAGACAAAATAAAGTCAGTTATCAAGCAGTGCTTGTTATCCTGAAAGTAGAATCCTGACAGTAAACATAATGTTATAGAACTGCATTTTATTTGTGAGGAAGCGAGTCTTGAGAGACGGCGAATCTTGAGAGCACCAGACAAAAAGTATTCTAATTTTTGCAGTGAAAGAAATATTCAATTTTAGACTTCAGTAACAGTTGTCCAGAATTTTTCGATTTGTCTGAAAATTTTGAAGTAAACTAAACGAAAATAAAGCTTCAATTTTGTCGTTGACAACTTTTTTGTACAAACCCTTTTAGAGCATTAAAAACAACAAGTAATGATATTTTTAGTCCTCTACTGTATCACCAAGTACATATGTATAAAATTCCCGAAAAGCTAAAAATGTGATTTCATAAACTTCAAATTACGAATTCGTTTGATTTTCACAAAAAAATGTTCCAGATCGAAGAAGACGGACTTAAACATCGACTCGTCATTCCTCAAGTACAAGCTGCTGACAGTGGCCGATTCACCGCTCAAGCTTCAAACGTCGCTGGTACCAAACAGTCGACGTGCATTCTGATTTGTGCTCCAGCTCCGACACCAGTGCCAGGAGCCAAGTCTGCTGTGGCGTGAGTGGTTTCACTTCAAGAAACATTGTTTGAAAAAGGGAGAGGAATAGATTTGGGCCTTTTCCATTAGATGGATTTATTAAAACAGATTCTGAAATTTCGAAATTATATGATTTCGAGATTCTTAAATTCGGACATTCTTATATTCGGGTATTCTAAAACTCGGAGATTTCTCGATCCTTAGATTTTTATATTGTAAGATTCGAAAATTTCGAGACTTCTAGATTCCGAGATTCGGACGTTACGAAATACTAAAGTCCTGAGATGATTCTGAGATCCTGAGACCTTGAGATTATGAGATTCTGTGATTCGAAGTTTTTGAGATACTAAGATTCCCAGATGTTCAGATTCATAGATTTTAAAATTTTTAGATTCTGTGTCTCGAAATATCTCAATTCTAAGAATTTTGAAAGATAAAAAAATAAGGTTGTTCAAAACTAAATTTATCTGATTCCGAAAAATTCATTTGTCATGAGAACAAATTCGAATTTAAAAAACGGAAGTCGCAAAATCCAAGGATCGTAGAACCCTATATTTTTAGATTTGAGGGTTTTAGATTTTTAGAATTATACACTTCAAGATTCCAAGATCGCTAGATTCTGAAATAATGTCAAAGTGTAATTCTTACAATTAGACTTCTAGTTTCCTAATCTTGAATAATTTTCAGATCCCCAGCTCCTCCTCAAACACCCGTTGGTCCATCGGCGCCAATTTTCCTCAAAGAACTCCGTCACCAACCGCTCAAACCTGGAGCCGGTGTCACTTTCGAAGGACGTGTAATCTCTGTCCCACCACCAAACATCGAATGGATGAAAAACGGAAAACCACTGCAGAACTATCGCGCCAAAATCGAGCACGACCCAAAAACCGGAATAATTTCTTTAATTATCCCTCAAATGTTCAACGATGACGCTGGAGAGTACACAATCAAAGCCACCAACGTCCATGGAGAGGCTATCAGTGGAGCACAATTGCTTCCAAGAGAACAGTATGATCGGTGGTTCGCCAATGAGCAGACAAGACTCACAAAGGATCGGAAGCAAGGAATGCTGTCACAGACATTGAGACCGAGTAGTGTTGCTCAGAAGCAGATGCAGAAACAGGGTTATGATACGGATCAAGGGAGTGTGGATATGGTAAGGATTTGTAAAGGTTAGTATAGGGTACCGTATAATTCCAGCACTGGACGATTTCCGAATCGGAAACGGAGCCAGAACTTTCTGCTCTGGATGCTCGTGGAGTTGGAACCAAACCAATCATTAGGACTCCTCTTCGTGGTTTGAGACTCACAGAAGGAACAGATGCCATTCTACAAGCGAATATTGTTGGTAACCCGAAACCAAGGGTGAGTGTTTTTTTTGTAGTGTTCAAGGAGTTGACCTTGCACACCAAAGATTTGATGTACTTCGCAGGTGAGCGAAGCAGTGGCGAAGTTTCCAATCTTACCACATGGCATTAGCTACACAGCGCTCCTGATATTTTGACACAAGTTAAACTCGCTGAACAGCGTCAATATGAAAGTTTTGAAGCATCTCGGAAAATCAAAATTTTCAAATAAAAATTTGAAATATTTCAGATCCAATGGCATTTCAACGGACGGCCGCTTCAGCTATCCGGTCCACGAATGCAGATGACTTATAAGGGATCGATGGCAGTGCTGAAAATCTCAATGGTGACAATTGATGAGGCTGGAGATTATACGGTTGTGTCAGAGAATCGCTTTGGAAAGGTGAGATATTGAATTTTGGATTTTGAGGTTTTTGTATTCGAAACTTCTAAATTCCTAGATTTCTGGATTCTGAGACTCATTTTTTAGATTCCTAGATCCCAAAGTTTTGAGATTCTCAGACTCCCAGATACCTAGATGTTAAAATTCTGAAAGTCTGATTCTGAGATACTGAGATTCTGAGATACTGAGATTCTGAGATTCTGAGATTCTGAGATTCTGAGATTCTGAGATTCTGAGATACTGAGATTCTGAGATACTGAGATTCTGAGATTCTGAGATTCTGAGATTCTGAGATTCTGAGATTCTGAGATTCTGAGATTCTGAGATTCTGAGATTCTGAGATTCTGAGATACTGAGATTCTGAGATTCTGAGATTCTGAGATTCTGAGATTCTGAGATTCTGAGATTCTGAGATTCTGAGATTCTGAGATTCTGAGATTCTGAGATTCTGAGATTCTGAGATTCTGAGATTCTGAGATTCTGAGATTCTGAGATTCTGAGATTCTGAGATTCTGAGATTCTGAGATTCTGAAATTCTGAAATTCTGAGATTCTGAGATTCTGGGATTCTGAAGTTCTGGGATTCTGAAGTTCTGGGATTCTGAAGTTCTGGGATTCTGAAGTTCTGAGATTTTGAGATTCATAATAGATTCCATTTTTTCA